TGTGTGTGTGTGTGTGTGTGTGTGTGTGTGTGTGTGTGTGTGTGTGTGGTCAGAAGTCAACACCAGGCAACTTCCTCAGTCTCAGTTTCTGTCCACCTTGTTTTAGAGGCTGAGTCTTTCACTGAACGTGGAAGTCCCGTCTGCCGAGGCTGCCGGCCAGCCAGTCCTAGGCCTCTGTCTGCCTATCTCTGCCTCCATGACCATCATAGTAGTGTGTCTGGGATTCAGACTCATGGCCGTGTGGCTAGCACTTTGCACACTGAGGCATCTCCCTATCTCTCACATCATGTTTTAAATAGTTTTTCATTATAGCATTTTTATGCCTATTTTTTTTAATAAATATAGAGCAAATTGTCTATGCCACAAAGAAAACAGCACAGTGTATACAGCTGGGTGTGGCGGTCCACAACTTTAATTCCAGCACTCGGGAGACAGAGGCAGGCGGGTCTCTGTGAGTTCGAAGCCAGCCTGGTCTATATAGGCTACACAGAGAGACCCTGTCTCCAAAAACAAAAATGAATAAACACAGGTAGTATGTACAGGGTGTGGCAGGTCTGTGTCCCCAAGCCCTCGGAGGCCTCCTGGGAGTTCGGGGTGTGTCCCCATGACCAGCAGCGTGAAGGGATGACTGCACAGCACCTAGTGGTTGTACTCTGGGTCATTTGTCAGTAAACTCTGAATGAAAGAGACAGCAAGGTGGCTCAGACAGTGAAGGTACTTAGAGCCAAGCCTGGGACCTCAAGTCCATGGAGGCCATGAGTTGGCAGGAAGTAAATGTAAAAAAGAAAATTAAAAACACACCAATGAATTCGTAAATGAGTGCTCTCACTCGTGAAGACCCTGGATCTCCCCGGGCACCCCAAGCCCACTCTGGGTGAAGGTTCAGGGGCCCCCTCACCTGTAAGATGTGCCGCTGGGTTGGGTTGGTGAGACTGCCGATCTGAGGAAGAGAGAGTCAGAGGTTAGAGAGGTTAGAGGTGTGTGTGTGTGTGTGTGTGTGTGTGTGTGTGTGTGTCCGAGGCCAGCTGTAGGTGTCAGCCTCTGCCCCTTCCAGAATGACCCAGACTTCTGCTTCTCCAGTCCTGGGGGAGGGGCACACTGTGGTGACCCAGCATGCGGGAAGGGGCGGAGTGGGAACCACTCCACCAAGCTCACCTTGGATCAGCTTCTCCCAAGAGCTCGTGTCTCCATCCTGAAATACAGACGGTGCTTGGTGAGGACAGGCCACAGCCCAGGGTCACACAGGTACGTGGTGATGGGACTGTCTGCCCATGGCCACAGACGCCACCCTCGGACACGTGCGCAGGGTTACAAGTGCAGGCACACAGGCGTGCGCACCTAATTAGATCCATTGTGCTTCTGGGATAGGCTCTCACGAAGCCCGGGCTGGCCTCAGAGGTGCTAAGTAGCCTGGGATGACCTTGAACTCCTGGGGCCTTCTGCCTCCCCTGCCCAAGTCCTGGGATGATGAACTAGCTAATCAAGCTAAGTCTCCGAAATGCTGGAGATAGAACTGTTCCTAAGGTTTGAGGATAGTTGAGGGACGGCGACAGGGCTCAGGAGGTAAAAGCACTTACTGCTGGCTACCTGAGCACCTGGCTACCTGCGTCCAATCCCGGAACCCACAGAAGGGAGACACAGAGGAGTGATGCCCCAGAGGAACCCGGCATACACTAAATAAGTAAAGGTGATTTAAACACCTAAACAGAAAACAAGGGCAATGACTCCAGGAGCGTGTTCTTTACACAAGTAAGCAGGTGTGGCACGGACAGGCACACCCATGGCTTATCTGAAAGGAACAGAGAGCGAGCACTGGAGAGGGACACTGAGAATGAGCTAGGATGACCATGAAGCCGGTGATGGGAACGGGGTTTGGGCTAGTATCAACAGCCGTGTAGATAAAAGTGTGGATGAACCCCGGGAAAGCTTCTGGACACTAAGGTCACCTCGGATCCCTCTCCGCTCGCCATCACAAGTGAAGAGACTGGCTCCGAGGGACAGGCTGACAGGAGAAGCTCAGTGATGCAGCTGGGCTCTCTGCCTGGAACACACACAGCCACAAACAGGCAGACCCTGGAGAGGCCCCTTCCGTCCCCCAAACCCTCCTTACCGGCAGACGAGCTACCATGTCCCCAAGACGCTGATGCAGTCTGAGTAGGAACCAGCCCTGGGCGCCCAGGCCAGCGCCCAGCAGCAGTATCAGGACCAGGCTAACCTGGGAGATGCTGCAGCGCCGTCTCCTGCGGTTCTGCCCCAGCCTCCTGAACGGGATGTCCGTCTGTCCATCCACCACAAACACTGAAGGCTGTACCACGCTCTCCATACCAGAGTCGCTAGGGCTCACAAGCCCAGGGACGGGGCTGGCAAGCCTGAGTTCCTCCCCTCAGGAGGAAACCACAATTGCCCAATGCTTGGGCTGTGCAAACTGCAAAAGGTTCCTTGGGCGCCTGGGGCTTGCTTTAAAGCTGAACTCGGTGCCTCCCCTTTCCCCAAACGCCCTCCTCTTCTTCCTGTGCCCCCAGAAGGCCCGGCCCCCAGCTCACTCTCACTCACACCACCGCTGCTCACACTTTCCAGAAAATGTGACTCAGGTGGAGATGGACAGGGCAGCCCCTGCTCGCAGTGCTTGGTGGCTTTGTTCTCCTCAGAGGTGCTTTCTGCGGGTTCCAGGCGAGCTTCCGACACCTGCAGATGCTGACACGCACAAGCATGCATGCTTTAATCTGCGCATTTGGTTGCAGACTCTGTGCAGACACAAGGCTCGCGCACGCGTGCACGCAGGTGTAGGTGTTCTGGTGTGTGCCCGTGTGGGCCGGCGCATGCGCACGTGCAGTTCCCGAGCGTGTGCGGGCCCATGTGCGCGCACATGTGCCACAGTGTGTATCATCCGTCAGCACATGTCCATATGAACCTCAGGTGCGTCCACAGGTGCGTCCATCAGGGAGGGAGCTGGGGCAGATTTCCAGACGCCACACCTTGTCCTCAAGTCCTCAGCCTGGACCCCACCCCCATCCAACACCCCTCCAGTTTCTGAGCGCTCAGTGAAGCAATCAGAAGAGGCCCCAGCCCTCCTTCTCACCACCAATGGCCCCCCGCTCTGTAGAGTTTTGTCTCGTGCAGGACTGGCAGCGCTGTGACCATTGAACCCTAGTGCTCGGCCACACTGCTGATTCGTGGCTTCCCTAAGCGGGGTTCCAGGGGTTCAGATACTGCTGAGACACCCAATCCAGCCCCCCCCAGCCCATCCCTCCACCTGCCTTAGGATCGAACCATTCCAGAGGAAGCCTGAGTGTGTGAGGTGCTGAAGGGACCTGTGTTGTTGACATGAGCATGGGCTTGTCAAGAACTCCAGGGTCCCCGGCTCGGAGAGAAATGATGAATCTTCTGCCTGGTCCATGCGCGGATGTGGATGCTGACACTGTGTGTGCACGAAGTGTCCGCATTCTCCCTCACACAGCCCTTTCCTGTGGAGACAACTAAACCTGCCTTCCCTACCCCGATGTGTACATAAACCTCTCCTCCTTGATTACCTGTATGCGATTAGCTGCCTCTTTCGGTGGGTCTTACTGTCTGTGCTGACAAGTGTCCATTTGCCCACAAGCTAGACTTAGTTTGGAAGAGGAAACTTCAACGGAAAAAAACGTCCCCAACATATTGGCTTGTGGGAGAGCCCAGCTTATTGGAGGCTGTCCCTCCCCTACACTGGAATTCTTGGGTTCTACAAGAAAGCAGGCTGAGAAAGCCATAGGATGCAGCCCAGGAAACAGTGACCCTCCACGGTCCCCGCATCAGCTCCTGCCTCCAGGTGCCTTCCCTTGCTTCCCCCAGGATAAACTGTGACCTGAATGTGTAAGCTGAAATAAACCCTTTCTCTCTAAGCCGCTTTCCGTCATGGTGTTCTATCACAGCAATAGAAATCCCAACCAAGACACAAACTGGTATCAGGAGTGGGGTAGGACGTGATAGACCTGACTCTGTTTTTGGGAGGATTGTAGTGAACTTTGGCGCGTGCGCAGAGCTCATTGGGCTGTTCCATGGGATCTTGGAGGATCAGGATGCTGAGAGGAGCACAGACGATGGAGACCTGGCTCGTGAAGTTACAGGGGGAAGTTGGAGAGTCCCTCAAAAACCACCAAGGTTTCCTGGGCGCGGTGGTGCACCCCTTTAGTCACAGCGCTTGGGAGGCAGAGGCAGGTGGATTTCTGTGAGATCAAGGCCAGCCTGGTCTACATAGTGAGTTCCAAGAGAACAAAACTACAGAGAGACCCTATCTTTTTATTTTATTTTATTTTATTTTAATTCTTTATTAATTACACTTATTCACTTTGCATCCCCCCTGTGGTTCCCTCCCTCCTCCCATCCCAATCCCTCCCTTCCTCCTCCCTCTGCAGGCATGCCCCTCCCCAAGTCCACTGATAGGGGAGGACTTCTTTTCCTTCCTTCTGATCCTAGTCAATTAGGGAGAGATCCTATCTTAAACAAAGCAAAACCAAACAGGAGGAGGAGGAATGAGGAGGAGGAGACTATCAGGGATGTTTGATATTTGAAGTAAGATTCTTAGTTCTGCTTAGCTAGTTCTGCAGAACTGGCTGTGACTGGTAAGAGACTGGTACCATCAAGGTGAAATCTCCTGGGATGTGTTTCCTGAGAGTCAGCCCACGAAAGCTGCGCTGCAGAAGTGACCAAGGTGGTACCCTGGTGGTGCTGGTTACGAAGGCATGAAGAGGTCACGAAGAGCAGCTAAGGCTCGGCACTGTGAGTGGCCAGGGGAAGGCCACTCAGATGCCAGCGCCACGGGATGATCACCAAAACACAGCAGCAGCCTCGGAGCGGAGTCAGCAGCAGCTAGGACACGAGCTGTGAGCTCTGCAGAGGGCAGAGCTGGAGAAGTGGGTCAAGACTTTCGGAGAATCCCAGGACAGTGTGTGGACCCCAGAGGTTGGAAACTGAGTTCTTTACACAGCTGGAGTTTGGTTTTCATTTGTTCAGGTTGTTGACTGTGCCCTGCTTCTTTTCCTCTTGAAATAAGGAAGTGTTTAGCTTGTTTTCGGTTTTGCAGGAGCCCACAAAAATAAAGACAAGAATCTTTAAAGATTTTAGATTGTAAAAGAGACTTTGGCGTTTTAAAGAAACTAAATTTTAAAGCATTTAAATTTGTAAGGCTGTAAGGCTGTGAGACTTTTAAAATTTGCAAAATATTTTTATATCGTGATGTTGAGGGTAACGTGCGATCTTGGGGATAAACAAGAAAGGAAAGGTTGTGGCTTACTAGTGATGTGTTTGTGTGTCAAGCTGATGAGGAGTCAATGGTGCTGGGTGGTTTTATGCCCTCTTGGCACAAGCTAAGGTCACCTGAGAGGAGGGGGCCTCCACTGAGAAAACGCCTCCACAGACCGGACTTCGGGCAAGCCTGTAGGGTATCTTCTTAATTAGTGATCGATACGGGAGGTCCTACCCACTGGGGGTGGGGCTACCGCTGGGCTGGTGGTCCTGGGTTCTAGAAGGAAGAGCAAGCTGTGGGGAGCAAGCCAGTAAGCAGCACCCATCTATGGCCTCTGCATCAGCTCCTGCCTCCAGGGTCCTGCTCGGTTTGAATTCCTGTCCTGACTTTCTTCAAGTGATGAACTGTGACCTGGAAATGCAAGCAAAATAAACTCTTTTTCTCTCTGAGTCGCTTTTGGCCATTGTGTGATAATAGAAACCCTAACTAAGACAGAGAGGAAGAAAAAATCTTGGCTCCTGGTTAGTGAGAAGTGGCTGTAACGGTGGGAAAGTAGAGGCAGGAGCGTGAGTTGGCTGGCCTTGCCAAGTCCACAGTGAAGCGGCAGACCAACAATGCTGGTGTTGGCCTCACTTCCTCCTTTTCATTCAGCCCAGCCCACAGGATGGCTCCACCCACAGTCAGGAGCGCCCTTCTCCCTCAGTTAACCCTCTAGATAATCAGTGATGGAGATGATTAGAGAACTGTCTCCACGGCGATTGTGAGATGTGAGGACGCCAGGCAGGTTCAGAGGAGACTGGGGAAGTTTGAGGGCAGGGGGCTCCGTGAAGGGGCAGCAAGCTCTTGGTGAGGAAGGAGGTGAGACTGACATGAGCGAGAACTGAGAGGTGAGCCTCGGAAATGGGGGTGGGCCGAGGGTGGCCAGTTGCTAAAGGCAGGTCCAGGGGAGGAAGGCAGACACTCTGTGCAGGACAGAACGACAACCTTGGAGCTTCTTGGGTGGGTGGCTTTTCCTAGGGAGACATTTTAGAAAATGGTGATGGGGGCGGGAGAGGACAAAGACATAGTCACACCTGAGTGTAGCTTGGAGTTTGTATGAGTGACTTACGGAAGCACGGGTGAGGGTTCCTTACAGGAATCCAAGTGACTCAAAGACATATGCATAGTGACTGGTGTAGGCCCACACACCTCGACTTCCCTGTTCCACTCATAGGCAGCTGCAGCCAAGAGTTTCTGATGCCCCAGTAACTCATTGTGTGTGTGTGTGAGAGAGAGAGAGACAGAGAGAGACACACAGAGAGAGATTGTGCATGCCTGTGTTAGAGTATCAGTGAGCATGTGGGGGGTATATCTGAGTGAGTTGTTGTGTGAGTGTCTGTGAAAGTGCGTGTATGTCTCTGTATTACAGTAGGTGTAAATATTAGTGTGCATGCAGGTTGTGAGAATACGTGTGCTGTGTCCTGTGAGTGTGTATATATGTCCCTGTGTTAGAGGAAGTGTAGCTATCAGTGTGCATATATTTGTGTGTGTGTATGTGTGCTATGTTTGTGTGTGTGTGTGTGTGTGTGTGTGTGTGTGTGCATGTGTTTAAACAATAGAGGACCACTTTGACTATCTTCCTCAAGAGAGTTCCACAAAATTTGTTTTCAGATTTAATTTTACTCTTTGTGAGTGCATGACTGTGTGGGCGGGGCCTGCAGAGGGCAAAAGAGGGCATCATTTCCACCTGTGATGGACTTGGAGCGACCCATGACCCTCCTTTCTTGGCCACTTGGAGCAAAATTTGGATCCTCTGCAACAGCACTGTTAACTTTGAATTAATGAACCTAACTCCAGCCTCCTCCATGGAGCTCTTTAGCCTCTTCCTACATCTCTCCATCCTCTTCCTTCCATCTCTCCATCCTTCTCCTTCCATCTCTCCATCCTCCTCTTTCCATCTCTCCATCTCCCTCCTTACATCTTTCCTCTTTACATCTCTCCATCCTTTTCTATCTCTCTATCCTCCTCCTTACATTTCTCTATTCTCCTCCATAATCTCTTCTTTGTCTTAACATCTCTATGGGCTCCTCCTTCCATCTTTCCATACTCCTTACACCTTTCCA